GCTCTATTTTTCTAAGTTTTCCTTGGCAATGATCGCTTTCGAACATTACCTGCACTTTAGTTGGTTTTCATGTTTATTGTCTCCTTTCCTGCCAGAAGATAAGCACCATGCACTCAGGGATCTTGGTTTGTTCACTTGTGCATCTCAAACACCTTGATCTGTGCCTGGAACATTGATCTCCTGAATAGATAAATAAAAAGGTAGACCACTCTCTATGCTTTATTTGTTGATGACAAAAATGGAGTAACCCTGACAATGAAATTAGATCTGTTTTAGTTTTATAAAGGGCTTTACAATTTGCTTTATTTTCCATTGGATGGAAATGTAAATAGTTTTTGAAAATATAACTGATGCATGTTTTATCTATTACTAATGGGAAAACATTAATAAACAAGCTTTAGCATCTCATACACCCACATGTAACACGTCTACAGATTTCCAATTGTGCCTGTGGATTCCAGCCCCTGCACACTTCTCTCATTTGTCCTTACTTGGGGCAGGCTAGGCAAATAGATTGGCTATATACTTGGCTGGTTCTAACTTGGAAATGCAGTTTATTTCTCCTCTAATTTTTACTCCAATAATTCCAACCTGCAAAATCTCTATGTAGGTTTTATATAACCTATACCTTGTATTGCCAATTTTTAACATTTTGCTAAACTTCCTTCCTTTCTCATGTGTATGTTTTGTTTTTTTCCTGAACTTTTTGATACTATATTGCTGATATCATGACATTTCAACCATAAATACTTCATCAAGTATCACTTAAGAACAATGACATATTCCTAGATCACAATAAAAGGATCATATTCAAGAAATTTAACATGAATATGTTATTATCCAATATACTCCATATTCAAATTTCCCAATAATGTTGTTTATAGTTTTGTTTTCTATACTTAAGATATAACTATGGACCACGCATCATATTTCACTGTCATATCTCTACAATCGTTCCTTCTTTCTCTCTCCTTCTTCTCCTCCTTCTGCTTCTCCTCTTCCTCCTTTTTTGTCTGTCACGTCATTGAAAGTGTCCAGGCCAATAATCTCCTCTAGATCCAGGCTAAAGTTATTTAGCAAAACCTCTACCTTAAAGTTAGACTTTTGATGCGTGCTCTAATAGCTATAAAAGAGGCAGTATGCAAAGTGGTCACAAGTCCAGTCCACGCAGCCAGACATACCTGAGTTCGAATCCAGCTCTGTCACTCATGTACTATGAGAAATATTTAATCATTTTTCTGCCTCAGCTTCCCTATTTGTAAGATGGAGATGACCACACTACCCATTTCACAGGACTGTTATATAGATTAAATAGGTTAGTATATGGGAAGCACGTAGACTAGTACCTGGCATGTGGCAGACGTTTTGTGTTAGCTCTATTTATAGTCTTAAAACAACCTTGACTAATTTCTATCTACTGTCTGAGATTGGGGGGCAGGAAACACAGGACAGAAGCTTTATACCTTCCCTGAGTATAGAATAACTATCAAAGGTCTGGCTTAGAATTTTAATTAAGTCCTATTATTGCTTTTGGAAGTTCTGAGTGTTTTTACCTCATCAGCTTTTGACAAGTGGCATTTACTGGAGATTCAAAAGGAAGAGTAAGGAGGGCATCTTCCTACTCTTCACAAGGGAAGTTCCGAGAAGAGCTGTCTTTGCCTGACAGCCTCTAGAGGGCAGCAGAGGCACTAGCGCTCTGGGTTCCTTTGGGAGAGTGAATGATCCCTGCCTTAACATAAACAAGCTTTAACATCTCATACGCGACCAAAAACTGGGCAGGAGGTTGACTTTGCTCAGAATAAAGAGATGTGTGATTGTTGACTTGGGGGCATGAAGCAAGTAACCACAAGTAATATCAACATACTGGTATATTATTTTGGGGTAAGAAAAAATAATATGGAACTGTTTTGAAAAACTAAATATATCACAGTAATCACACACCCTCTCCACACCACGGTAATATGAAGCTCGCCAGATCTGGTTCCAGCAGTTTAATTCTTGGCGAGCAGCTGGGTGCTGCGATGACTTTGTGATATAACTGATAACACTGCTGCCCTGGCAGCCCCCCTGGGAGGGAACGCCATCTCCTCCCAACAGAAGGGAGCAGCTCTGCGGCTGCCACCTCTGCTTGCGGCTGCCCAGCAGGTACACGGAGTTTTCTACGTGGTATCCACTTGAAGGCCTTTTCGTAAACGTTTCTAACTCTCAGAAGTCAAGTGTTCTCCTATAGCTTCGCTATTACACGGTACTGACACAGAGGCCTCAAAAATTTGCAAAGCATTCGGAAATAGATTAAACTACAAATGCGTCATTTCTGGTAGTGCTACGAGCACCTTCTCTACATTCTGGCTGGGAGGCACCGAGTAATGGGTAGGAGCACGGACTCTGAAAGCAGATAACCCGGACTTGAATCCCAGCTCCACAGTTACCCAGCTGTGTGATGGTGAACAAGCTACTGGTATGTCATCTCTCTGTGCCCCAATGTCCTCTGCTGTAAGATGGAGATAATATAAGTACCCACCTCATAGGGCTCTCTGGAGAATTTAAGGAATTCACATATGTTAAATTTGTAGAACAGTCCCTTACATTTAATAAGCATCACAAAAGTGTTACCTTTTCTTATCTGGAATTGCAGAATCTTCTGCAAATACTCCAGCCCTTCCCTCCATCGCCCAGCCTCAACGGTCCCGATGGCAGAGCAGAGACTAGGATTCAATGCACCTACAGAGCATCACTCTCAACGGGTATCTAAAAACAAAAAGAGCATTTCCCCCCTTTATCCACAACTGACAGAAGACGGCTGTGCAGCTCCCCCACCCTCAGGCCTTCCCCTGAAAGTGCTCTCACTCTGTCCAGGCCCTTTCTCTACCTTTGCGTCACCTGTGGACCAGCAACGTTCTAGTGGATTCCTTGACGCAGGTGGGGTGACCAGTCGTTTCCCTCCTGTCACCTGCTCCAGCACAGCCATTCCTAACACAGATCACGTCACTGGTCACCCACCACTATGCACAGACATTGCATCTTTCTACTCAGTGGAAAGGGACAGCCAAGAGGTGTTTGCACTCCCAGTTTAAAAACAGAAAAATAAAGAGAATTTGTTTAGAAAAAAAAAATAAAGTAAACCCCTTTAAAGTTTACAAAAAAAATCTTTTTAAGTTGTTTCAGAAAACAGACAATGCTACACCAAATCCAAACCAAGAAAATCATGTTAGTGACCTGGTGAGGAAAATAAACTGTTTGAAAAACAGGAGATTAAGAGGACGATGAGTATGTAGAAAACCAGGTCAGCATTTTAAACTGACATTATCATCATGTGAAAACGGGATCTGTGTGAATACGTCTTGTTACGAAAGACTCGTGGAACTCTTTTTTACATAGTTCTATGAGAACTGGGCAATTTCTGTTGGTTAGATGGTTTGGGAGCGGTACAATCTACAAAGCACACCCGCTGTCCAATGTTTTAGTCCGTTCTGTGAGCTTACCTCGGGGACTTGGGTAGCTGAAGCTTAGTTTAACAAAGAATTAATGGATTGGTCCTCAGACTACTCAGCATTTTTAGAAACCAAATCAAGTTGAAATGGTTTGCGTTACACTTATGAGCCCTGAAATCTTGGGCAAGATTCCGTGGCCTCAACTGTCACATGGAGATAATTGTACCTACAAGCAGCAGAAAATGCAGGTGTTTCTGTCCCACCTTCTTCAGTAAGCACCTGCGACTCCTCTTTCATAGAGTCCCCCCCCCCGACACCCTCCCCCAATTTACTTTGCTACCCCTGTTGGTTGTTAATCAATGACTATACTCCTGGATGGATGTCAAGTTCCCTTTCCTAGCCCATGGCCCAGAGTTGCCGTGTGGGGCAGATTGAAGGATTTGGCCTGAGATGCTCCCTCACTTGGCTCAACTCCCTATCCCTGGCCTGCTTCCCCCACTCCAAACTGGTCTCTCCTAGAGCCACCTCAGGGACAAAACCCTTGTATATAAACCTCATTTCAGTATCTGCTTCTGGGGAACCTATGAATTCACATTTTGCCCCCACAGAGTTTTGAAAAGATGGACAAAGACAATGTATCTAAAGCCCCTACCACAGTGGTCGGCAAACTCATTAGTCAACAGAGCCAAATATCAACAGTACAACGATTGAAATTTCTTTTGAGAGCCAAAATGTTTAAACTTAAACTATATAGGTAGGTACATTGTTATTAACTTAATTAGGATACTCCTAAGGCATGGAGGAAGCGCCACAGAAGTGTTTGCTATTGTTCTTATCTGAGGTTGGACCTGCAGAGCCAGGGAGAACCAAGAGAAATATAATACAGGGACTTCACCCAAACATAAAGCCACAAACACACAAACTCTTGAGACATGTTGAGGGAACTGAATAATCCACATAATTGCTTCCATTCGCATCACTGGTGGCACCCTTGGCCTTAATTACAAGGGAATAAATGCTTCCGGCTGAGTTGTAATGCAAAGAGGCTGCTACTGTGTGCTCCCGTGAGACCCACCACAGGCATTCAATTGAGTTAATAAGTATGGATACCGGGAGACTTAAATGTTCCCTCTCTCATCTGCTTTAAAAAATATATACATACATATATGGAAACTCTTTGGTTCGTCCTTTAACCGGGTTTCATGGAGTAGTTCCAAGGTTGCTTGCTTAAAGGTGAGCAGCGGGAGTCTTAAGAACTTAATTTTAAGAAATTCTCACAGCAAAAAGTGCACTTTGTTCTTTGAGTTTCTTAAACCTATATTCCCTATCCTTTCATAATAACTTGTCTTTTATGGATAAAATATACACAAATCACTGAGGGGGAAAAAAGGCACCTGAGATGACCTGGATGACCAGCTTCTCCTGTTTTTAAATGGTATACACAGAGCATATTATTAAGATTTCTATACAGTAGCGTTTCTATCACAGCTCAGAAAGAGAATTTACCGTGTCTTTATTATTCAGTTCAAATATAAGGGCAAAGAAACTTACAGGATTTCTTTTTTTTTTTTTTTTTCAGGTTTTCATTTATCAGCTCCTGGAAAAAAAAAAAAAAGTGATATAGGCAAAATCCCTACATGATAAAACCCAAACCAAAGTAACAGTGGCTGGTGGGAACCTCTCAGTGAATTATTATGCTCCTAGGTCCTGGAAAAAAAAATTATTCTTCTCCGGTTCTCTCATCTGACCCCACTACAGACGAGCTTTTGTCCACTTCACAGCACTTGTGCCATTAATGATCTCCTCCAGGACAAACGGGATGTTCTTTCTCCTACCCTTGTTCACTTTAATCTATGTGTTGCCTTTGTTCGACTCAACCTCTCTCTTCCTCCTTCTCCATAAGCCTTTCTTCTCCTAATTTTGTCTGATCCTTTAGTATTTCTTTTTCAATTGTATTATGCATTTTAAAAATAAAAATGAAAAACACAATTAGAGTTGGGGGGGAAGCACTCATATTCGAACACTATTATTTTATTGGATTTCCCCCCTCCCACCCAATTTTTTTTTCTTGCTGGTTTTTACATATTATAAATGGGACTCAGGATCCTTCTATTTATATGAAATGTCTTATTTTAATTATTCCACATTATGCTCTATAATCTTCCTAACCTCCATCCTTAATTCCTTTTAATAATCTCATCTTTCTTTTTTATTCTCTCCTCCTCGGTTTATTCTATTTCCCTGGGCAAATTCACTCCTTTCCCCTAACAAATCCACTGAAGAGCTGGAAACTATATCTCACATTCTCCTCTTATGTTCAAGTGCTCTTTTGTTCTAATGATATGAATACTATTTTTAAAAAAAACAACAAAGCAAAATAAAATCCCGTGTCCCGCCAAAATATTTGTACCAAAATACTACTTACTCTGGAAGTTAATCTGACAATTTAGATCAAAGATGTATTCTTCTGAAATGTCTAAAACATATCTTTCCTCGAAATAATTCCCAAGATTTTTTTTCAGAGTTCCTGTAAAAGTAATAGGAAGATACAGGCACTTAATTAGTAGTTTTCAACAAGACTGATACTAGATTAGCATTTTCTAAATTCTGCTCCAAGTAAGACAAGTGAAATACAAAAATGCTCATTTGAAATACAAGTGATATTCTATTTCATAAAGGGAAAGATTTCCATGACCAAAAACCAAAATAGAATACAAGTTGGGAAACCTTAAATTTAAACATTTTAAGAGATTTCTTTCATTTTTACTGTAAGAATTTCCAAAGCCTTGAATATATTAATCCCAGCACCTCACAGAGTTGGTAGATGCTCAGTAAATATGTGCTTAATACATGAATACGCCTTGTGAAGCTCCAGGAAATAGTACTACATGTAACATTCCCCCCAAAGAGAAGAATTTCTTTATAAAAGTTACTTAAACAACTATTTAAAAGATGTTTATTAGAACACTTAAAAACTTCAAATGGTCCTGAAGTTTTTGGGGGTTGGTTAAATGAATTATATTCTGGTGCAATAGAAGACCATGGAGCCATGAAAATTGATGATACAGGTTCATGTTTAATGATACTAAAAGATGCCAATGACATGTGGGAAAAAGTAGATGATGAAACAGCATGAAATTTTGTATGCTATCTATCTAAACAGATGTGTAGGTATGGCACATAAAGTATATACAGGGCAAAGGTAGATTTACAATTGTGAGTATGTGAACCACAGTTTATTCTTGTACTATTATTTACTAATTATAGTATTATTTTCCACATGAGCAACCATAAACCTACTTTTGCCCCACCCTATATATTTGAAAAATGAAGAATGGTGCAATTATATGTGATGTGATTTTCATTTTGTACTTTATTTTTTATTGTTTATATTAATGAATTATTCAACAATGTAAATAAAGATTTAATTTGACAAAGAAGCTCATTTCAATATTATAAGAGAAAAAACAGACATTAATAGTATCTAACAATAAAGAACTAAAACAGATTATAGCATATCATAAAATATCACAATATGAAGTCATTAAAATGATGTAGAAACACATTTAATTTAATGAAAAGAGACTTACAACATATTTTTAAATAGAAAAAGCAGGTTATAAAACAGCATGTATAATATAATTTTATTGTAAAATAGTTATATGTTCATAATGGTATAGAAGGATCTATAACAAAAACTTCACACTGTCAATCACTGGGTTGATACGTGTTTTCTAAACTTCATCAAGTTCCTACATTGCTTATAGAACAATAAAATCAGCAGCCTTATCAATTTTTTCCATAGTTTGTTACCTTAGCAATCTGGGTAACATAAATAAATCACTTATGATCAAAGAAAAACTAGGATTCAATAACAGTACATGAGTAAATGCTTGCTTAAAATGGTAATGTTAATAACACTAGCAAAGATGCCTAATCTCTCTTCCAAAAATAATGAAATTGTGGTAAAAACAGAAATGAATTTTTTAAATGCCTTTAAAGAAATAATAGCTTTAATTGCATGAGGCCTTCTACTTCTTGATCCCTAGTAGTCTGATGTACTAAGTGGCATGGACAAGCACTTATGTCTACGACCAAGAACTAAAGGAAATCAAGGTGTCTTGATTTTGAACATTTAGCATGAGGCTATTTAAAGACTCAACAATCTGCATTAAGAAATAATTCCAATTAGTCTCTGTAATGCCATTGTAATGCCATTCTTAGCATTCATGTGTCTAAATTTCAGAAAATAATTTATGTAAAAGACAGTGGGATCCACAGAGGAGTCACAACTTTTATTGTGCCTAGAACATAAAAAGAGTACCACCTACAGCCTCCATCATTTAAAAAGAGGCAGTATTCTAACCTTGAAAACGTCCTAATTTCAGATTTTTAAAAAAATTCCCTTTAAGATTAGTCAGCTTAGCTTTCTATATATAAGAAGTATATTGTTCGTGTTTGTCTCATTTTGCTGCCAACTGGTGAAACTGTAGCAGGCCGAGATCTAGTAAAGAGCTCAGTGTGAGAAAGCACCCGAGACAAACAGCCACTATGTGTATTTAGCCAACTATTCAGAAAGTTGTGAGAAAACAGTCCAAAGGATTTCAAAGTGAACTAGGTCTAGCATTATTCAGGGTGGGCAAAGGCAAGTTTTTTGGTTCAAGTCAGTTTAAATAATAAAACAGTAAAACTAAAATGACCTTAATGATATTTTTCCCCCCGTTTCCCAAACCTCAGTCATTAATGTATTGTCCTCACACGTTTTGTCATGTCTGCCTAACACCCCTGCTATTATTTATCGAACATCTTTCTGTTAAGTCTCTCTCCTAGGCTATACTGTCTATGAATCAGAGCTTTGATGGGCTACTCACGTAATCATTACCCATATAATCATCCAGCCATCCAAAAAGACCTTGCATGTCTGTCATCTAGTCTAACATTCATTTCATGGAGCCCAGTGTAACAAGTAATGTGTTCAATTACCCAATGTGTTCAGGATCTTACTTGAAGAGGATGACAAAGCAATTTTTGGATTTGAAAAACTATCGTAATGCAAAGGCGACTCTGTTCATGGCCTGACTGCTTAATTAACTTTAAGTATATAACTTCAAAGATGCTGAAGTCACCTGTCCTTTCTATTGCAATTTCACTTACAAATATTTTTTTTTAATATGTTTTTACTGATTTTAGAGAGCGGAAGGGAAAGGGAGAGAAACGTCGATCAGTGCCTCAACTGCAAACCAGCAACCTTTTGGTGCATGGCCAAGGACACACAACCAACTGAGCCACACAGACCAGGGCTTTTTTTGTTGTTGTTTTTTTTTTTTACAATTCCCATATGACTCAACATTCTCTGCCTTGTGTTACCCATTCATCAATATTTATTGAACACCTACCTTGCTTCAGGCATTGCCTGGAGCAAAACAGCCTAGCCACCTTGTCTTCATGAGGAATCTTACATTCCAGTACATTTTTTTTTAAAATATGCTTTTATTGATTTGGGGGGAGAGGGATAGAAAGAAACATCATTGATTGCCTGACTCCTGCACGCCCCCTACTGGGGATCAAGTCCGAAACCTGGGCATGTGCCCTGATGGGGAATTGAACCAGTGACCTCTTGGTTCATGGGTCAATGCTCAACCACTGAACCACACTGGCCAGGCCATTCTAGTACATTTTTATAGCTTTCTAAGTATATATCATTGTTTCCTCTTCTAAATTCTAAATTCCTGGAGGACATAAAATGGGTCTAGTTTAACTTTGACTTCTCCTCCACAGCTTTGACCTGTGTGTATTTTTCAAAATAGTTGAAAATAATTGTTTAGGTCATGCCCTGGCTGGGTGGCTCTGTTGGTTGGAGCGTACTCCCATGCACAAAAAAAGATGGTAGGTTCGATTCCCAGTCAGGGCACATACCTAGGCTGTGGGTTTGATCCTTTTTCTCTCTCTAAAAATCAATAAAAATATATCCTTGGGTGAGGATTTAAAAAGTAACTGTTTTGAGTCTTAAATTAGCTGTATTTAAAGATAACATCTTGCATAAATTCATTTGTTATCAAGCAAAGTAACAAATTTTCTTTACTAGCTTAAGAAAAGATATTCTATTTACCTTAAATTTTAACTATTTCCCAAAAATTTCAAACATTTCATGTTAAGAAAAAACAAACAAACCAATATCCTTTTTTAAGTGTTGTGATAATAGCTTACAGTTAGGTGCTGACAGTTGACCATTTTTGGTTTTCATATGGCTTCTTCTTTAAGTCACAGCTATTGTCTTTTTCTCTCCTGTATGTTCTTTCTCTTTTAGAAAAGAAATAAACTATAGTGATATATTCAAACTTTATGTAAAGATTAAACCTATAAAACAGGTAGATTAAGGCTTTGCAGCTTTAAATATGATTTATTTTATTTATTTATGTATAATTATTTATATATTTATATAGTCTCTCTATATAAAAGGCAAATATGCTAAGTGTCTGTCCGACCCGTAGCTATGATGCACACTGACCACCAGGGGGCAGACATTCAACGCAGGAGCTGCCGAGCTGCAGTGACTTGGCAGCGGCGGTTCTCAGGTGATGCACCCTGAAACCAAAGAGGAGGGAGCCTGATTCTGGGTGCATAGCTGGGGGATGTTGGGAGAGCCGGTTTCAGCCCCATCCTCGAAGGCCAGGCCGAGGGACCCCACCTGCCAGAGGGATCCCGCTTACTCAGCAGATGCCCTTTGAGCCGCGGTGCTATCCCAGCTACAGCCGGGGAGGGACCACAGGAGGTTGGCTCCAGGGCATGTCCAGCCCATCTTGTCCAGTCCCACCCCACCAGCTACCTTCTAATTAATTTCCTTTCAATGTGCATGAATTTGTGCACCAGGTCACTAGTTTATTTATAAACATACTTACTTATAAATATACTAGAGGCCTGGTGCATGGATTCATGGGGGGTCCCTTGGCCTGGCCTGTGGGGATCAGGCCAAAACCTGCTCTCTGACAACCCCCGAGGTGTCTCGGATTGCAAGAGGGTGGTTCTTGGGTGATGCACCCTGGAATCGGGCTCCCACCTCTCTGGTTCCAGATGCATCACCTGAGAACCGCAGTTGCCAAGTCACCGCAGCTCGGAAGCTCCTGCGTTGAACATCTGCCCCCTGGTGGTCAGTGCACATCATAGCTACCAGTTGAACAGAAGCTTAGGCTTTTATATATATAGATTTCTTTATTTTAAAATATATTTTAATTGATCTTGGAGAGAGAGAAAAATATCTATGTGAGAAACACTGATTGGCTGCCTCCTGCACACCCTCTACTGGGGATTGAGCCTGCAACCTGGACATGTACCCTGACCCAGAATGGAGCCAGCGACCTTTTGTTGTGTGGGATGAGGCTCAAACAACTGAGCCATACTGGTCAGGGCCATCTCTTCTTTTTATGGAACTCTTCTGCTTTCACATAAAATCAGAGAGGATTTTAGAGAGAGCATAAGACACCAAAAATCTGGCTCCAGGCAAGTTGCCCAAAGCCATCAGCCTTTGGTAACAAAATCAAATTCTGTGTCCATCCCCTCCTTCCAGCTGTTAGATTAAGCTGGCCTCCCCCAAATAAGAAACTTAGCCTGTTCTCAACAAAATAGAAATATGCACAAGTTCTAAACTTTGTTACATTTTAGTACCTCCTTTTGTGTGTGTGTGTGTGTGTGTGTGTGTGTATTTAAATGGGGAAAAGGTAGTAAGACTTTACAGAGATTTAAAAAAACAACAACTTATAAGTCTAGTTGAGAACCAAGAATGTCAGTAATAGGACCTTGTGTTTTTGATGCCTTTTTATTCCATTTTTAGTATCTAGTTAGAACTATTATATTTCCTGAATGCTGAGGACAAACCCAGTCTAAGCTCTGCTTCTTAATCTCTGTCTCCCTTTTCCCCCTCTCGATACAAGAGGATATGGCTGGTAGTTTAAGAAATGATAAAACTGACTCTCAAATAGCTATGTATGTACTTTTCTCGGGCTTCAGTATTCCTCCCACTGATATAAATAGTTTCTCCTTCCATGGTAACTCTGCCTCTATAGGCAAATGCTGCAGTGCGGCTGAGAGGCTGGGTGAGGTCTGTAAATTATGCATTAGGGATGCTCTTGCTGCTCTTCAGCTTGACGCAGAGGTTTCTTTATGTCCAAGTGAACACCTCTGCTTGCTACTGAGGCAGCAGAGCAACACAGGACACTCGTCAGCATTGCCAGCCAACACCTATGATTCCATGATCAGGAAAATAACCATAATATACCTCCCCCGCAAAAGACCAACAAGAAAGTCTAGGGGCTCGGTCAAACATTCCCAGTGTAACAAATCATTAATATTAAAGTATCACCACGCATCAAAACTGTATCAGTCTTTTCAGAACTTCAGTCACTCGGAAAATGTTTCAGAATCTAACACATAAATATCATTTCTTTGTGAGTCAATGCTACTGAATGGGGGCGGTAAGGGCAAGGGCTATAAAATGAAACACAGAGCCCAGTGAGTGACTCTTGGCTATCTCAAAATATTACTGCTATTATGAGTAAGACCATAAGGGTGGGTGGGGTTTAGGAACGGAAATAAAGGGGGGTTAAATTGGAAACATAGAGGTGGAAGAAATAACAAGATCTTGTTTGAGGAATACTCACAGGATAAAAGGTGGGAGGAAATGAATTGGAGGGATTGGATGGAGGTGATGTCAGCTGTCACCATATTTTCTCATGGCTCATAGTTCCCCTTCTTCTTCCTCTTCATGCACTTTGGTCCCCAAGTCCTGTTAATGAAAAGTTCTCAAATCCATATCCCTCCTCTCCATCACCCCGTCACTGCCCTTGTTCATGCCAGCCACATCCCTCCCCTGGACTGCCTAGTGCATCAGACTCCATATTCCTCTCTCCCTGCACTCACCCTCCTGTAATTTATCCTACATTCAGCCATGAAAAGTGACCTTTCTAAAGCAACAACTGGATCACATTTGCCAAATTCCTTCTCTGGCTCCATTGTGCCCTAACCCTATGCACACAGCCTTACAGGACCCTTTATGATGGTACCACTCCTGCTGCTCCAACCTCACCTGAGATCCCCCACCTAGGGCTACCGCTCAGGCCAAATAGGAAGGCGGGAAGGTGCAGTGGTCCAGGGCATGGATGCATAGCTACACAGCGGGTTTCGAGTCCACCCCACACTGTTCACCTGAATAAGTTACCCAACTATGGTGATTTAGTGTCTTCATCTATCAAATGCTGTTAGGATAAAGTGAGAATATAATTTAAAGTGCATCTGATGGTGCTTATCAAGTAAAAGAAAAATAATTCTCTGGATTGTGAAGTTCTCTCCTATCCCAGTGAGTTTACATCTTCAGGTTCCTAAACCCATTGGGGGGGGGGGGCAGACTCTTTCTCAGGGTCAATCTTTAATCTTCCTTCTGGAAGGAGCTAAAACATCAGGTCTTCTGTGAAGCCTTTCTACCACTCTTTGTTCGTTCCTAGTAAAACTTTTAAGGTTATCATTTGTATTAGTTTCCTGTGGCTGCTGTGACAGATTACCACAGACTGGGTGGCTTAGAACTACAGAACTGTATTCACTCATGGAGCTGGAAGCTAGAAGTCTGAAATCGGTATCCCTGGGCCGGACTCAAGGAGTTGGCAGGGCCACACTGATTCCAGAGGCTCTTCGGGGAAAATCTGTTCCTTGTCTCTGGTGGTCCTCGTATTGCTGGGTTTGTAGCAACACTGCTCTAATCTTGCCTCTGTGATAACATTGCTGCCCCTTGTCTGACTGTCCAATCTCTTATACAGACTCTTGTGCTTGCATTGAGGGCCCAACCTGATAATCCAGGACAGTCATGCCACCTCAAGGTCTTCAACTGAACACATCTAAGGTAACCATAGAAGGTAGCATTTATGGGTTCCAGGGATTAGGAGCCAATATCTTTAGATGCCATTATTCAGCCACTGCATAGCTCTTTGCATGTATATTGGTCTTTTCACCTTTGTCTGACAACGGTCTATCTCAGTGTAGACACATAATGCATAATCAATAACTGAAATGCACATAGAGGTTATGCCAGTATAGGGTGCCAGTCCACTGCCCATGTTCATCCGTATTCCATCTTAGCTAAGGCTTGATTTCCCTAGGCCAGAGCTATTTCCATCACGTGCCAAGTTGTGATTGGAAGGAAATTTCCCTCACGACTTAGATCAATTTCTAGGTTAGAGACATGAAGCGAAGGGGGTCTTCATCTTTGTACCGCTTCCTGTGAGCCACAGTGAGGCGAAGCAATGGAAAATTCCATTCCTTCCAAACCCTGGGCAGAGAACGTGGAAGAGATGGAGGGGCCCCGGCAGCTGGAAGGTGACTTTCACGGAATGTGAGAATTCCGAGTGAGAGTGACAAGCCTGAGTTGCATTAAGAGTGCTGTCATCGCGATTTGCCCAGGCTGGGTGGTTGCCACTCCTTGACCATTCATTTTAAACAGTTTTCTTTGCAATTTAAGGGCCTAAATTCATGGCTGTTGCTTGACTATTTTCCCATCTCAAGTCACTCTGCGTTCAGCACAGGCCTGTTTCTGAAAGGAGACTGCTTCTTTCCCCTTGTCCTTAACTCAGTCACCTTCACCACAAGAACCAGTCTGCCTCAGCCACCACTTGCCCGGGAAGACAACTCAGTAGCTATGCTAATGTTTTTCTCAATGAGAGAAGAAAAAATTGCATACAACAAAAACGTAAACAATAGATTACTTTGCACAATTAATCCTTGCAACGGTAAATTGCTTACTGTTTATAACTGTGTGTTTACTTCCACGTCATCTCTTCTTCTTTGTACTGGTTAAAGCTCCCAGAAATCAGAGTTAAAAACTTACACAGCCTCAAAATTTATTCAAGGTTTGCCGATGTAGACATGTACTCAGAAACTTCTAGGGTTTGAGAAATTTCTTTCATTAACATATAATACCCATCTATCATAAAACACAATTGCCAAAATCAACTCAGTGTGTCTAGCTAGCATAAAATTTATCTAACATAGTTTGGCACCTGTCAGAGGCTTTTCTGACTCCTGTAGCCTGTCCAACTAGAGCTACTTAGCCCCTAAAAATACCTGGAACAACTCTCTCCAGGTAGCTCTGCTCCAGTCATGTCTTTCATACCAATGGAACTTTTCACATGCTGTTCCCTCCGTTTGAATGCTTGTCCCTCCAGCTCTTCTCTTGATTAAATTCTATTCATCCTTTGGATTTAGTCCAGGCATCCCTGTCTCCAAAAAGCTTCCCTAGACTAAGTTAGATCCCCCTAAGAACCTGAGACCACTGACTGTTGGTATTTGTGTGATTATGTGATCAAAGTCTGCTTCCTCCACCAGAACGTACAGAGCTCTGCGAGGGCAGGGAATGAGCCAGCTTTTGTTACCATTCTATCACCAACCCATCTCTCTGTTGCTGGAACACAGTAAGCATGTAATGAATATTTAAATGTCGAATGCACATGTGGTGGGCTCCCATGCTAGCTCTGCCTGCCACTGGGTTATTTAGACAACTCATTTCACTTCACAGGCCCTGACTTTCCTCATTAGTAAGAAAATGCCTCTTCTGGTCCCAACATTCTAGGATATTTACGGTTCCTGCCTTCAGCCTATAAGACTGATCAGGCTACAGCTAGAAAGAAAGTCGACACTAGCTGTTATCTGCTTGCCATATAGCTCCCCACGCGGAAAAGAAACCTTATGCCGAACAAGAAATTGGAATTACCCTTGAACACCTTTGCTTCTTTCCCTGATGCCACTGCCTCCTTCTGGCTTTCTTCACCTCTCACTTAAAATACTGCAAATGCTCCTTTCACTGGTGGTCCTGTGTTCAGTCCTGTCCCCTTCCAATCTACCTGCAAGACTGCCCGTAGGGCTGAGTCTATAACACTGATTGTAGCACCCCTCAGCTCGGACACTTCCAGGGACTCCCACACCATGTGGGGGACAAAACTTCCTGTTTCTGCCTCGCCTTGAGCACTTATACTCCACTCAGAACCACTCAGGGGGCCCAACTCCACACTGTTCTTTGAGGTCCCTGTCTTTGCACATGGTTCTCTCTGCCTGGAAAACTGTTCTCATCTCCTGTACTTGCAAAGTCCCATCCATCCTTTAGGCTCAGCTCAAACATCTCTTGAACGTGGCACCTTCCTCACTCCTCCAGCTGAGTGTGTTGCTCACTGCCTGAATTCCCACAGAACACTTTGTCCAAGCCGCCAGAACAACACGAAGTGAGCTGTGTTCGTTTGCACAGGGCTAGCCGTGGTAAGAGTGTGGGCCTCAATTTCAGACTGGCCTGAGTTTGAAACCAAATTCTGCAACTTTCTTGTGTGGTCTTGGAAATGATTCTGAATCTTAGTTGCCTAATTTTGGAAATGGGAGCTATAACCCCTAACTCACTGTTGAAACCACAGATTAAATGAAATATTGTGATTAGTGCACTTAGTACAATGCCTGGCCCATAATTCTTGATAACTAATAGTAATTATTATTGGATTGTGAATGTGTTGAATGCAAAGAGCTACACTTGGTCTATCTTTCTATCTGGCACATAGTGGGTGCTCTCAGTGAACGGTTCTTAAAATGCACGAGTGAGATGGTATTTCTGATGTATTTTTCTTTACAGGAAGGCTGGAGGCTTATTCATTTTAGGAATTGAAGTCAAATAGAGTCAAAAAGTCCACTGATCTCACGGCATATTCCAAATCACATTTTGCTACACTAGTCTTGACCTTACACGGGTAACATAGTTTGAGAACAAACCTGAGTGTTAAGCATTAGTGTTTTCTGCTAAACTCTCCACGCTGTTAGTCTTTACTGTATGCACGCCAGTTTCGGCCTTTACATAATCCTATGTGCACACAGGTGACATCTTAAAACACCCAACAGCACGCACGTGTACAGGACTAATGCTAATAAGCACCGCTCTAGGTGCTTAGGGTGTTGTAACTCCTCTAGGCGGCTCATAACCCAGCTGACTTTTCTCGGATGACTGTTAAAACCACTGCAAACTCTAGCTGAGGGCTCTGGCCACAGCCTGGCATTGCCCCCAACAAGAGCCTAAAGTCCTCTGCTTGTTCAAGGACTGCAGTCTCCTCCGTGGGCCTGCGCATCCCTCCGCACCCCCCGCCCCCCCATTTCTCGCAGTGGCTCTCAACCTTCTGGACCTTTAAATACAGTTCCTCATGTTGTGACCCAACCATAAAATTATTTTCATTGCTACTTCATAATTGTAATGTTGCTACTGTTAGGGATCGTCATGTAAATATCTGATATGCAGGATGGTCTTAGGCGACCCCTGTGAAAGGGTCGTTCTACCGCCAAAGGGGTCGCGGCCCACAGGTTGAGAACCGCTGTTAGGCCTTGCAGCTAAACCCCCCTAGGGGGGCAGAGGGGAAACCACGTTCACACCCTACACTCAGAGCGACTCTAGACGAATTAAAGCCTCACACGGTTAGAAACCTTTCCCCCTCAGCACATCCAACTTTCCCACTGTGATTTCTCCCCCGTGTTCCCCGGTGGCTTCTGTAGGACGTCAGAGCGCAAGGTGGGGAAACAGCTGTGCCCCCTTCCAATTACCAAGGGCGGGCGCTCCCAGGGGCCAGGCTGACAGTGCAGGGGAGGCCTCGGGCACCGGTGCCCGCAGGCAGGCGGCC